GTGAGCCACCGGCACCTGGCTAGACTAGTCGTTTAAGTGTAAGGAGGGGGACTGTTTTACAGTCCTGGGGATACATGTCCAAGAGTGGCCGGTGGAGGTGCAGGAAGCCGCGGCTTTCATCCTTCAAAGCGTCTCTGTGCTGCTGCCCACGGCAGTTACACGAGCAGCACGGGACAGGCTGCTAGGAAAGACCCGCAGAGCCGCATGTACGCCACTGTGCTCACAACAGTCAGCCAAGGTGTCCGATGGCTAGAGGAGACATGGATGGCACACACATAGCCAGGAATAGCAGTCAGCCATAAAGATAAGCAAAACATGGCCCCACCTACAGGAAAGGGGTGGAGCACAATTCACTGAAGTGAGATAAACCAAGCTCAGAAAGACTACAGTTGGTTTTTTTGCCTTATTGGTAGAAGTTAGACCTAAAAAGACACATACATGCATGCATGCATGCATACATGCACACATACACACATGCTCCCTCTATAAGAAAAATTGTAACTGGGGGGGACTATCTGGGGCGAGCAGGGGAAGGGGAGAGGAAGATCCGTCGTGTAGAAATACATGACACCTATGCTAAGGACACTCACTGATGTTTGTAGAACAATGGGAGAGCTGGGGGCGCGGGGGAGGAGAATCCGATCAACAGGGTTAATTGGATTAAATTATAATAGAACATATGTGCATGTGAAATACCGTGACAAAACCTTGTCTACAATTAATATACACTGAGGATCACGGTTCAAAGCCAGCCTGGGTAGGAAAGTCCGTGAGACTCTTATCTCCAATAAACCACCAGAAAACCGGAAGTGGCGCTGTGGCTCGAGTGGTAGAGCGCTCGCCTTGAGCTGAAGAGCTGGGGGACAGCGCCCAGGCCCAGAGTTCAAGCCCCGGGGCCAGCAGTGCACATGCATGCGCACGCAACACACACACACACACACACACACACACACACACACACGGTTTGGATTTCCCTGTATGGCATACAGAAATGTGGCAGATGAGAAAGAGCAGAGCCCACTGCTGGGTGAAGGACAACTACATGGCTGCCGCCCCTGACTTCCCCAGCTGCATTCTGTGTATGTGTGTGTGTGCGTGTGTGTGTGCGTGTGTGCGTGCGTGCTCGTGTGGGCACATGAGAGTGCAATGTGTGTCCATGTGTGTCCCTGTTTGGGTGCATGTGTGCACACGGGTGTGTGAGTGCCTGGGTGTGCGTGTCTGCCCAGGTGCCCATGCGTGTGCATCGCCTGTGGGTGTATGAGCGTGTGTGTGTGCATGTGTGTACATGCACTGCATGGCACTGGGGTTGCTAGACCAGAGTTCTGACACTTGAGCCGTGTCCCAGCCCCGGGGTGGTTCTGGTAACTTCTTGCACAGAGCTAATGGACACCTCAAGTTCTTCTCCTTCCCTAGCACCCCAGCCCGCCTCAGGCAGCGCCCCTGGCTTCACATCCGGCCCCAGCGCTTTGGGATACGGGGTTCTGGGTGTGGGGCTCAGCTCCCGGGCCTCCCTCTGCTCCACCAGTGCCTCCAGCAGCGCCGGTGCAGGGCACAGGGCAGCTTTCGAGTTCACAGGAAGATGCTGGGTGCTGGGCTTGGCCATGAATCCCCACGGCTTCCTTTCTGTCTGGCCTGACCTGAGGGCTCCGGGACTCGGTCCGCTCCCGGCTGGATCCTCGTGGGTCACAGACCAGGGTTCCGAAAGCATGCTGCCATGGGCTGGGAAGGTGGCTCAGAGGTAGAATGCTTGCCTCTCATGCATGAAGCCCTGGGTTCGATTCCTCAGTACCACATACACAGAAAGGGCTGGAAGTGGCGCTGTGGCTCAAGTGACAGAGTGCTAGCCTGGAGCAAAAGGAAGCTCAGGGACAGTACCCAGGCCCTGAGTTCAAGTCCCAGAAAAGAAAAGATGCTGCCAGACAAATGATCTCTACGAAAACCCTGAGACACGGGAGCCTCCAGCTCGAAGCCTCCGGGCCTCCCTCTTGTCTCTGCCCCCCCCCACGACCAGTCCTGTCTCTGCCCTCGCTCCCCTGCGTGCCCCCCTCCCATCACACTCACCCCAGAAGAGGAGCAGCCAGAAGCCCCACATCGCAGCTGTGGCTCAAGAAGGGAACTGGGAGGCCTATGCGCAGAGCTTTTCATCTGTGGGGAGGGCGGGGCCAGGGTTGCACAAGGGCACTGAGGCCAGCCCAGCAAGCCCCCGACTTTCCCCTGCAGCCTGCCTGCCATGCGCTTCTCTCCCCGCCCTGTCCCCGCCACACACACACACACACACACACACACACACACACACGCATGCTCACCTCACAGACACAGAGGCTGGCAGTGAGTCCTGGGGGCCCAGGGGCCCATCCTGACACAGGGGCCTTTGAAGATGGCCAGTTGGGGGTGAGGGGATCCTGGGGACCCCAGGAAAGGCCAGCTGTTGGGGGGAAAGGGGGAGGAGAATGGAGAAAGCCATTCCAAGCCAGGATGGAACAAGTATATAGGGTTCTGCGGGTGCCAAGGGCACCTCCCCTGCCCAGAGCGCTCCCCCCCCAACTTGGGACAAGGGGCGGGGGATGAGGCATCACCCAGGGCTCCCTGGGCCCGGCCTGGCTGGCAGAACTGCACTGATCATTCATGTCTCGGCCGTGCCTTCGGCCCTTTCTGCTTTAGCTTTCCTTGGCTGAGGCAGCAGGGGCGGCAGAGGCGGGGGGTAGGGGGGTGGGAGGGTGGGGGGTTGGGGAGGGGTAGGAGGGAGAGGGTGATTTTTCAAAGCCAGGCTTGTCATTTTGGCCCAGAGCCCACCTGGACCACGATCCTCCTCCCGTGGACACTTCCTTTGCAGCTGAGCTAACGGACACCTGTCACCGCGTGCAACCTACGTGTTAAGATGAGGGCCTCACTCTCCTCTCCTCCCAGCTATCCTTGAAGCTCGAACCTCCCACTCTCTGCCTCCCACACAGCCAGGATTGCAGGCCCGAGCCACCAGGTGCAGCCCTCTCTGTCTCCCCTGACCTCGGCCTCCGCATATGGTCCCCCCTCTCCCCCCCCCGCCCCGTGTCCTGCAGGACGAGGCTTGAGTCCCAACGAGGCGGCCTGCTGCCACGGTCAGGAAAACACCCAGAGGGGCTACATGGGGGAGAGGGGAGACATGGAAGGAGGGGGTTATTCTACCCTCCCCCAGGTTGGGGGGAGGGCATCTTGGATCCTGGCACCCCAAGACACAAGGTTCCAAATGCCTTCCAATCGCAAGGGAAGAGGTGAAGGCTGCTGAGTGTGGTGTGGAGAGACTGAGTAGAGGAACCCGGCAGCCGGCCATGGCCTCCTGCACTCCCGGGGCCCTACCATTTGAGCCACAGCCCCACTTCCGGCTTTCTGGTGGTTCACTGGAGATAAGAGTCCCGCGGGCTTTCCTCCCCAGGCTGGTTTTGAACCGCGATCCTCAGATCTCAGCCTCCTGAGTAGCTGGGATTACAGGCGTGAGCCACCATGCCCATGTGTGGTCTTCACGGTCCCCAGCCAGCGGTGCGATTTGGGGAGGTGGACACCGGGGTGTCTCTGAGGGAGGACCCCCCCACTCCCTGCTGGCCCCGCTTCCCATCCACCACGAGAGCCACAGGTGCTCCCTGCTAGTGCTCCCTCCACATCCCCCATCTGACACGGCAGCCACACGGGAGAGCGAGGACGCTGTGTGTCCTCCCTGCCCCCCCCAGCCCCACGCTCGCCCCACGAAGGAGTCACCATGCAGTGCGGGGCCGGAGCTGCGGCTCAGCGCCAGGATGCCCGTCCAGCGACTGAAGCAGTGCCAACACAACAAAAACACAACCGTAGAGATGCTTCCAGCCTGGCGTGGTGGGGCACGTCTGTAATCCCAGCCCTCAGGAGGCTGAAGCAGGAGGATCACAGGTTCACAGCCAGCCTAGGCTGCAGAGGAAGACCTGAGAGAGGAAGGGGGGGGCTTCCTAAAGCAAAATCAATGAATGTAAAAGACACTCGGGGTGCCATGGGGTGAGAGCAGGCCAGAGGCCCCCCCCCCACTGTGGAGTCATGGGGGCGTGGCTAAGAACTGGGGGTGCCCGGGGTTAAAGGCTGTCCACACCTAGGGGGAGGGGTGCCCATCAGAGACTCTATGCTCAGGGCGGGGCCCCGGAACCCGCACTCCAACCCCTTTGTCAGCTGCTTGGTGATGAAATGCAGATTCCCAGGTGCCACCAATGAAGGTCACGTGACCCCGCTTCGCTCAAGTAATTGCAGAAGAATATAAGATCTGGTCACAGCGATGCCCCGACTGGCCAGAAAGGAGGTGACTATGACCCCCCAGGGCCAGTCCCCGGGCCTGCTCATTTGTAGCCAGGCTATAATCCCAGCTACTCAGGAGACTGAGATCTGAGGGTTGTGATTCCAACAAAGGCAGCTCAGGAAGGAAAGTCTGTGAGACTCTTAGCTCCACTTGGCCACCCAAAAGCCAGAAATGGAGCTGTGGCTCAAGTAGTTGAGCAAAAAGTCTCAGAGGTAGTTCCCAGGCTGTGAGTTCAAGCCCCAGGACTGACACATATGCATTCCCATACAAACACACACACACACACACACACACACACACACACACATTTACTATTCTGTTGAGTATCTTATGTATGCATGCACCATGAAGCAATTCACCTATTTTCTGTGTTTATTTTTCTTTTTCATTGCTGTATAATATTCTCCTATGCCCGTGGAATACAGGACCGTAATTCAGCACTTACTAAGTCACTGTGTGGGGCCATGCACCCAGGCACAGAAGTTCATCTCATTGCAAAATGCTGAGCATATTTGACATTAGAAAGCCAGGCCCCACTCCCTCCCTCTACTTCCTTAAAAGAGAAAAAAAAAAGCATACAATTTGTGTTTGCTAATTGCACCTGAGGGTCCAGAACTGCAAGCCGGAGTCCCTTCCGGGGGCTGTTCAGAGCTGGCTGGCTTTGCTCCTCCGTGCACCCCGTGTTGCCAGGTCTGCCCAGCGCACAGGCAGTGTCTGCCCACCCGGAATTTGCAAACCTCGCTGTGCCCCTGCCCTTCTCTCCCTGGGCCAACTTCTGCAAAGATCGTGACGTCAGCCCCAAGCCAGTTCCCTGAATGCTTTTCTTATGTTCCAGCCTGCCAGGAGCCGGAGCTGCATGAGAGGAAGCGGCGCCTGCCGCTGCCCCCGGCCACCGGCCACGGCCCCGAAAGCGGGGTAAGAAGAGGATTTGGAACCACAGAGATGCAACGAAAATAATCACCCGTCAACTTCACTCCCCAAGAACAGGGAATTTACACACACACACACACACACACACACACACACACACACACACACACACACACCAGGGCCCTGGCCCAGAGAGGCCTGCAATTGCAGGAAGAAACTCTGAAAACATTTCCAACAAGACAGAATGGCTGCCACTAAATGCCAGAGGCGGGTGGCCTTACGGAATAGAAAGGTTGTATGCTCTAATGACTTTAGGCCAGGTAGAGCCAGAATGGCCATGGTGGAGTGGTGGGGTGGTGGCTCACACCTGTCATCCTAGCTACTGAGATCTGAGGATCTTGGTTCAAGGCCAGCCCAGGCAGGAAAGTCCATGGGACTCTTATCTCCATTGAACCACCAGAAAACTGGAAGTGGCACTGTGGCTCAAGTGGTAGAGCACCAGCCTCGGGCAAAAGAAGTTCAAGGACAGCGCCCAGGCCCTGAGTTTAAGCCTCAGGACTGGAAAATGGAAGGAAGGAAGGAAGGAAGGAAGGAAGGGAGGGAGGGAGGGAGGGAGGGAGGGAGGGAGGGAGGGAGGGGGAAGGGGAGGGGAGGGAAGGGAAAAAGCTGCCGATTTCATAGTTGCAAAACTCCTCATGATCTGTCAGGAGACCTGGCTGGGATGGAGAGGCTGACCCTGGGGTTCGGGGGTCCCTGCTGGGGGTCCCCGGCAATCAGCATGGGGGCCAGTGTGAGGATGGGGCAGAAATGGGGACTCCGTGGGGAAAACCTTGGGGTCCTGCGCTTCTGTGACTTTTTTTCACCCCCAATCTGTTCGTCCAGCAAACATCAAAGGAAGAAAAAAATGTATTTGTGCTCAGGGCAGAGAAAAGGAAGCATCACAAAGTGTGGAGGAAAACTATGCTTCGGTGTGTGTGCCAGTCCTGGGGCTTGAACTCAGAGCCCGGAGCTGTCTCTGAGCTCTTTTTGCTCTGGGCTAATCCTCTACCACTTGAGCCACAGCGCCACTTCTGGTTTTCTGGTGGTTCATCGGTGGTAAGAGTCTCACAGACTTTCCTGCCTGGGCTGGCTTCAAATCACCTCAGATCTCAGCTTCTTGAGTAGCTGGGATTACAGGCATGAGCACCAGCACGTGGCTGAGCTCTTTTGTTGTTGTTTTCCTGAGGATGGAAGGTGGAAGGGACAATTGTAGCTGTCATGGGCCACTGTAACTCAGAAAGCAGAAGTTCTCAAATCCTGCTTCTGACCTTTTCATCTTTATAACAGGCAAAGAGCAGCGAGAGCCAGAGCCTTAAGATGAGGAAAAACCTCCAAAAGCAGGCTAAAGAATTATAAAGAACTGCAAAGAATCCATGTCGCCCCCTTTTCATGATTGCTTGTAAATATAAAGACCTGCCCTGGTTTTCAAGTCTTTTCCTGAAAAATTATAGACCAAACATCTGATGCTAAACGCAAATCAAGCACTCACACATTTTGTTTGCTTGTTTCTTCATTCATTTTCTTTTTCTTTTCTTTTTGTCGTAGGGCTTGAACTCTGGGCTTGGACGCTGTCCTTGTGCTCTTCAGCTCAAGGCCAGTGCTCTACCACTTGAGCCACAGCACCACTTCCGGTTTTCTAGCAGTTTATTGGAGATAGGAGTCTCACGAACTTTCCTGCCCGGGCTGGCTTTGAACTGCGATCCTCAGATCTCAGCCTCCTGAGTAGCTAGGATTACAGGCGTGAGCCACCGGCGCCCGGCTTCATTCATTCATTTTTTTTGGCCAGTATAGCACCAAGAGGTTGAACTCAGGGCCTCAAGCTCTGGCTTAACTTTCTTGCTCACCAATGGTGCTCTGCCACCTGAGCCACACCCCTAGCCCTGCTTTTTGCTGATTAACTGGAGATAAAACTCTCCCAGA